GGAGAATACTGAAATACGAATCAATCACTGACTCCCGCACGGGATTCACACGTGACTTTATAGTCACATTAAGATTTACAACCCTTGGCAAATTGATTGCGGATCACATTTTAGCCATTTGTAAATTAATATCTGCGACACACAGCAAACAAATGAAACGTGTACCGTTTATTTTGTTAATTGTAAAATAAACTCTAAAACCCTCTCTATACAGAACACTTTTTAGTCGAAGTCAAAAATTTAACGAAAACAAACCAAATATTACAAACTCTAAAAAATTTATAGGCATAAAAGCGTGTGTGAATAATAAATAATGTCTAACAGTGCGTGTGTCAGGTATAACAAATAATAGATATATTTGCAAAACAACGATAACAAGAAACTGATCAACGATATAACAACAACGATGGCAACAGTAACGAAGGAAAATATCAATAACGAAACAACAACGATAATAATTCCCAATAAAAGAATAACTTGATTCAACTGAATAATTGAGCCGTTTATTTTGAAAGTGGCATAAGTCACTTTGTTTTTAAGTCGATATATTTAAGGGTTCGCGTTTTAACACGTTTAAAAATATGGATGCTAACTTTCGAGAAGATTTACTTGTATTTGTTATCTCAGAGGATACTGATATTTTTCTCGGTATAAATAATTTCGTATAAACATTAAAAAATCACCACTTTTCATTACGGTAAAGTGACTTATGCCACTTTCATAATAAACGGCTCAATTATGCGCAAGCTGAGGAAGAGAATGTTTTATTTTGAAATTTGGATTATTGATTTGTGGATGCAGATTTTGTTATTGGTACCGTCGAGTGTGAAACAACCGAGTAATCTAATAATAGATTGTTAAATTATTATAGTCGGAAACAGCTCTCGACGAGTTAGTCTCGTCAAAATCTACAGTGGCACATGCAATGAATGACGACCTCCAACTCGTCATTGCATGTCAAGGGGTTAAGATCTGCGAAGTTCGATAAGCAGATTGTCTATCGCGCGGAGATTATGCTGCCTTGAGATTATGTAGGCCCGTGATATCCGATCTCTCGGAGTTGGTCTTTTGAATTTCGTGAGGGGAACGTCGTGTCGGGAGATCTTGCACGGTGACATTCCAGGGCCTCGATCAGGAACTCGTTATTTTGCCTGATTTAAGCGAAGTTTGCCTTCCTCGGGCCGGGTAAGCACGTAAGTTGACAGAGTTGTCTACCCATCGTAAGTTTGCTTTACAGAATGTGGACCAAAAGTTACACAGTTTCAGGAAGATCCAGCATAGCAACGAAGACGCGTGATTATTAGCTTGCGATGGCATGCAGCGACGTCGGTTTACCGGGCCTCTTAACTCCTCCAGGTGGAATCTATCAAGTAAACTCTGTGTGTTGAGTGACGAACGTTGCAGCGACATATTTAAATAGTCTTCCGGTAATAGAGAAAGTTTCTATTGGGGCAGACTTCAACCCTCTAAATTCCAGGGGTTGGTGTGTCGCAGTAGTCAATCATTATTTATTTATTTGTTTGTTTAGCATAAACTTATACTTTCTTCCACATTTTCAGTTTTCTAAATCAATTGGAGAATGTTCAGAAAAATAAAGTGATTTGGCAACAGTAAATTCGTATGGCATCTTTAGGTATCCTTTTGATTTTGACAATTGCTTAAATATATTTATTTTGGAAGGAGAAGTCAAGAATAATGCTACACGAAACAGTTTCAAATAATATTAAAAATACTGGAGATTTGTATAATGTTAAAAATACAGAACACTTTATCTATTAGTAGTCTTCTTGTATAATAGTCTTTTCAAAATCGACAGTCAACAGAAGGATGCTTCTTAAAAAATACCTCAAAAGCGACAGCAATATCGTTCATAATCCAACAAATTATTTGGATTAATATAACGTAAGAATTTCCTCTGAAATTGTTATTTAACTTTCACACCGTGCATTTAACTTTGATCAGCGTCAGGGGTGCGTGCATTTCGTTTGCCATCTCGTACAAATACATCTCGCACAATAATCTACATACATACATATACGTATATCGACGGCTGAAGTATTTTCTCGTTCTAAATAATTTTACTTAGCTTGTACAAATACGCGTCTAAAATGGTTAATGAAAAATTATCGAGCTTCTTTTACATACTTTGAGAAACCTGTCGATAGGTTTCCTGTCAATAAAGTGTTATAAATTTTATGAGCGTACTTCCAAGTCTCCATTGTATACTTATCCGGGTTAAAAGATTGTGACAATAGACGAAAAATCGATTATCCCCTGCTGTCAGCATCAAGTTTCTCGCGCAGGTGCTTCGTTCACCTCTGGCGGCAGTAGTACAGGGAAGTTATGGTCAGACGCGAATGCAAGCTGAAACCGTCGAGCTGCTGGCACCATCAATTCCTATGCTTTCTAAACAAACACAGGATCTTATGGCCGCCAATACCGTTCACACAGAGGATTTAAAAAAAAAAAATAATAACTATTCAACTTTCAAATAACCATTGTAAAATTAACGTGTATCCAACTTTTAAATAACCATTGTAAAATTAACGTGTATTCAACTTTTAAATAACCATTGTAAAATTAACGCGTATTCAACTTTTAAATGACCATCGTGAAATTAACAGAAATTCGATGAAATGATTTTCTCTTTGAATTATTTGCAAAACTACGACCTTCAGTCGTGGCCACGCAAACTGCAAATCTTTTTCTTTGAGATTTTTCCTTCTATCTTTGAATAGAAACTATGGCAAGGTATACAAATTCTTCAGGTATTTTTCCTGAAATTAGGACACTTAACAACTGAACTTTTCCTTTTCAGTGGAAGTGTTGATCATTCATGCAAGATGGCAGACGATTTTTTTCTCGATAAATCATTCTAAAGCAAGAGTAAGGGAGCATCATTGTAGAACTTCTATTTCCGAGAAATATATACGAGGGCATTATACTATGCACAATAACAAACGAGAAGACTTATCCACCGACGAAAATCTATTAGTCTCTCAAGGAAAATAAATACGTCGCTTTTGAAACATTAAGACAGCTCCTGCTAACTCTGTCTTCCCACGCGCTTAAAGCGCCCGTTAAATAAACTTGCGAGGATGAAATAACCGGAAATAGCTTCCTAAACCGCGACTGGTGCTTAAACTTTAAAGAAGAACTTCCTGTCGCCGATCGCCCTAAATTTCGTTCTATGTAGTCCGTTAATGTAAGTCCGATAATCCGAATCACTTGCGGATAATAACACTATGCCGTCCGCAGATCTTAGATATGATTCTTTTGTTTGACGCCGGCACGATAGCTTGGAAATTTTAGATTTAAAAAAAATTTCGAAGATGGCGGTCATATAAATTCCTAAAATTAAGATAAGTCATCCAAGAATTTTCGTACTTAATTCTTAGTTAAATAAGCACAATGCTATAGTTCGTTTGCTGTCTTTTAACACCCAAGAAATATAGTTCAAATGTTATTTGTCAGTCACGGGTCGCGAAGGGTGGGTTTTATCGTCGGTCGCTCCGCGGAACGTCTCGGTGTTCGGAAAATTTTATTCATGGGGTATTATATCGTTCAGTCGTTCGGTCGCTGTATATAGCCGTCGAATTCGGTTGTCGCGTATTCGGCTGGGTTATAATATTATATTTTTATTATCATTTTTCTCGAAATCGAAGAAGCTTGAGATCGCGCTTGACATCGCGTTTGGGATCGCGTTTGGGATCGTACTATTGAAATCGCGTTTGAGATCACGCTACATTGAGATCGTGCTATTGAAATCGCGTGTTTGAGATCGCGTTATATTGAGATCGCGATATTGAGATTGCGTTTTTGAGATCGTGTTTGAGATCGCGCTGAAGATCGCTCTTGGGATCGGGCCCATGAGTCGTCGTTCGACAGTTATGAATCGCGTTTAACGCAATCCGTGGTGACATGTCCGTTTCCGACCGCGTCTGCTAAGAAAGGGCATTTTATTCGTCCCGCGCTGAGCGAAGCCAAGCCGAGCTTACCTAGTCGATGCAAAGCCAAGCGTGCAAAGCCGTGCCGAGCTGAGCGAAGCCGAGTCGAACGCGCTTCAGATCGCGCTGAAAATCGCGCTTGGGATCGGGCCCATGAGTCGTCGTTCGACAGTTGTGAATCGCGTTTAACGCAATCCGTGGTGACATATCCGTTTCCGACCGCGTCTGCTAAGAAAGGGCATTTTATTCGTCCCGCGCTGAGCGAAGCCAAGCCGAGCTTACCTAGTCGATGCAAAGCCAAGCGTGCAAAGCCGTGCCGAGCTGAGCGAAGCCGAGTCGAACGCGCTTCAGATCGCGCTGAAAATCGCGCTTGGGATCGGGCCCATGAGTCGTCGTTCGACAATTATGTATCGTGTTTAACGCAATCCGTGATATTCGCTTCTGTCCGGTAAGACATTTCGATCGACTCGTGCCGAGCGAAGCTATGCCGAGTGTCACAGCAACCTTCACGTGGTGAGACTGGGGCAATCGATGTAATTTTCTATTTCCAGTCGGTTATAAATCGAAAGAAACCTCGATCGTTCTATGACAGATACGAAATCTATAATTACACCGAGCTAATGGCTGTGAAGCAGAGCTGGAGAAAAATAGATTTTTTGAAATAATAAATAGATCACAGAAACAATATTATATATCCCCATGTGATACAGAATTCAATAAATAATGATCATATATATGAAAATACCATTTCAAAAAATATATTTAACTACATAATATCCAAATGTAACTAACATGTCCGAAAAAGTTCACTTGTCAAATTCTATATTACATCGGAAGATAGAAGTATTTATTGATCCATTCGTCTATTTATTATTCCAAAAGTCCATTTTTCCTCGTTCAATATTTCTCCCTTTCCTATTTTTTCCAAATAAACGGTTTAAATGCGAATGAAGATGTAGATACGAGAAGATACCGACCCTTTTTAACGTCCGCTTATCAGATTTCCTCGAGTGCCGGCTCGAGCCTCGACGCAAGGTTTCAGTGGCCCGACGAATTCCGCGCCGACTGGCTTCGAACGATACAGATTACCGTTTCATCCGCTTCTGTTCGCTTCTGTACGCCTCTGTTCGCTTCCGTTCGCTTCCGTTCGCTTCCGTTCACTTCTGTCTGCTCCGTCTCTGCTGCTGTTTCAGTGACAAGCACTCTCGAGAATGAACTAGCGAGCCGTCGACGTCGAACACGTAAGATTTTTGAATATAATCTCTGCGTTTTCATCGTGTCTGTTTTTGTGACACTTCGAGCGTGTCGCGCCGACACCGCCACAAAAGTTTCACAAACTTAAGAAATTTCATTCAATCGAGTTTAAAATTAAAAAGTTAAGAAGCTATGACAGCCAATTACATTTTCAATATTCTTTCGCCTCGCGGATTCTAGTCAAATTAAGAAGATATATTGGATTAGCGTAAAAATTAATTTTCTAATTTGAATGAATCATTTTGTCATTCACATATGTGTGACGCGACAAACAAAGTGTTAAAGGATTTAACAAACGTCGAACTTCGATACATTTATGTGAGTGCTAGAAATTGTTTTATTCTTGGTCAAGGTATGTTCACGCGTGTGTTGTAACTATCATAAGTACGTCGCGGATCTTTATGCAAAAATAAAAGATTCCTGTATTGATAACAAGATATAGGAACCACATGGAAAACCGTTTCTGCCTTTAGCTATTTTAATATAGAGACAATAATATATTGACAGTCGTCCAATTCTTTCGATCTGCCCACTAGTTTAAATTTCACCTACTCCATTTTGTCATAAATCCATAAAATTCGCGGTTTAGTCATGAATATAGTGCAAAATCAAAATTTTTGGTGTCGTCTGCAGGATACGGGAATTGAGTACTTTATTTTTGCGCTGCTAATAGCTTTGGTAAATTGATTGAACACCAAACCTATGGAGCCAGTCAAAGTAACCGGTTACACGTTGTTTGTTTTAAAGTTGTTGAAATCATAAAGACTCTTTAATGGAAAACAGCTGAATCAATATCTCAATGCAAGCATACATTATATGATCAAAATGGGGAAACACATTCATCATACTTGTCATCGTTATGAAGCGACACACATAGCCATTTTTAGTGTTCGGTAGGTCAATGACGAGTTAGGGTCGTCATTCATTTCATGTGTCACTGTAGACTTTGATGAGTCTAACTCGTCGAGAACTGTTTCCGACTGTAATAATCTAACAATGCATTATTAGATTACTCAGTTGCTTCACTCGTGCGTCGATTCTGGTTTGTTAGTAATATTCAAGACACGAAACCCTCCCACTTTTTCGACAGTACCAATAACAAAATTGCATCCACAAATCAGTAATCCAAAATTCAAAATAAGACATTCTTTTTCTCAGTATACACATAATTGTTCAGTTGAGATTTTAAATAATTTATATAGTATTTTTTAATCAATACAAATATTTAATATTTAATATTTAATATTTAATATTTAATATTTAATATTTAATATTTAATATTTAATATTTAATATTTAATATTTAATATTTAATATTTAATATTTAATATTTAATATTTAATATTTAATATTTAATATTTAATATTTAATATTTAATATTTAATATTTAATATTTAATATTTAATATTTAATATTTAATATTTAATATTTAATATTTAATATTTAATATTTAATATTTAATATTTAATATTTAATATTTAATATTTAATATTTAATATTTAATATTTAATATTTAATATTTAATATTTAATATTTAATATTTAATATTTAATATTTAATATTTAATATTTAATATTTAATATTTAATATTTAATATTTAATATTTAATATTTAATATTTAATATTTAATATTTAATATTTAATATTTAATATTTAATATTTAATATTTAATATTTAATATTTAATATTTAATATTTAATATTTAATATTTAATATTTAATATTTAATATTTAATATTTAATATTTAATATTTAATATTTAATATTTAATATTTAATATTTAATATTTATATAAATAAAATTAATAAATATTTAATATTTAATAAATTTAAACAATACAAATTAAATAGTATTTTTCGGACGCATCAAATTCTATTTTATTTGTATGTCAAGGGATTAATCCACAAAACCATTTCCCAACGCATAAGATTAATCGTCGAAAATCCCGATTGATTCTATTACGAAATTGGTCGAAATTGTCGACTGTGCCCGTATTATTTTCATTCTGAATGAAAAGTGCCCGTCCCTCGCGGGACGAGAAGCGTTTGCAACTGACACCGGCGATACATCTTTCCGCTTGCTGCTTACGCAACCATTCTGTCAATGTCGATGCCTAAGACATTTGGAACAGAAAAATTACTCATTCGAGAATCGCGGGACTAGCTCGATCCGCGAGAAGAAAAGAATATCCGCATATCCTGGGTTTCTGAACCGTCAAAGTAATTTATGGATTATTTTGAAAGCAGTAGGAATTGCAATTCCGTCAAATCGACTGGTACGCTGTTACGGATTCGGTTAACTTTGCTTTTCCATTTTCTCCAATCTGAAGCATTGATTTCTAATGTCTTCAATTCGGATGTAAAAGAACAGTCAAAATACTCCCATCCAATTATCATTTATTTAAGCCAAAATTCTTTACAGAATATTCTTTTTCTTCGTATTCCTTACGTTTTCTTAATATTCAGGAACTGCGGAAATATCGGCAAATAATCGATGATCTATCAAAGTGAAGTCTTCAAATTTGAAAATTATAGCGATCCAAATTTCGAAAATCGGAGATTCAGTTGTTCGAATACTTTCCAGTGCGGTCGTATATTATTACATTGTTATTTATAAGAAATTTATATATAAACATATGTAATAAATATATAAATATATGAATATATGAATATATGAATATATGAATATGTGAATATATGAATATATAAATATATGAATATGTGAATATGGGAATATGTGAATATGTGAATATGTGAATATGGGAATATGTGAATATATAAATATATGAATATATGAATATATATTGTATATATATATATATATATATATATATATATATATATATATATACATATATAAAATATATTATAAAAATATTTCT